CTTTGTTGCTTCTGAGCTAGATGGCTGCTTGTTTACCTTCAAGCTTTTAAGATCCCAGACGCTGTATCTTTTGATAGCCGGGCACCATCAGCTTTCTTCACCACATTGGCTTATTCACCCGCTTTTGTCTTTTGCGGCAAAACCTACTTTCAAGGCTCCCCAACACAAGCAGTGCCTGCTTATTCACTAACTTCTCTTCTGCCTTTTCTTTGAGCCCTGGAGTATCAGGACAAACGGATAAAGGTCTTTGTATGCCTGGTAGGTGACCCTTTTATTCTGAACTGAACTCTAGAGATTTGTGTCCTTTAAAAAAAGAACAAAAACACACAGGGAATACAGGACAGACAAACCCCTCAGGGACAGCAGTAGCGATACCATGAGGGTCGGGGGAACGTTGATGGAGGGAAATGGGGAGCAGACTACAATGACTGATGTAAAATTCAACCCACACCCACCCCTACCCCAGGGGGATGAACAGCAGTAACACGGGCGAAGGGAGACCGCAGGTGGTGTAAAATATGAAAATAATAATTTATCATTTATCAGGGGTCCATGAGGGTAGGAGGTGGGTCAGGGAGGGGAAAAAAGAGGAGCTGTTATCAAGGCCTCAAACATAAAGAAAACATTTTGAAAATGATGATGGCAACATCATTTGATACAATCGATGGATTGTATAAGAGCTCTAAGAGCCCCCAATAAAATGATTTATTAAAATTAAAACAAAATAAAACACATAGTTTCAAGGAGTAGGATAAGAGTTTGAGAATGAACAAAGGAAGTTGAAAAAACAGAATAAAACTGAGTGTTTGGGTATGTGTTTATGATACCAGTTTTACAAAGTTTATAACCAATAACCAAATGATAAGCAGGCAGAAACCAATCAGAATGCTATGGCGAGTATCCCCTTGCAACACTTGTAAACCAATCTTGCCTAGTGTTCTGCTCCCAACTTCCTTTTTCAGAAAAGTGTTCATCACTCCAACGATTCAAAGGGATCGACCCATTAATCCCTCCTCTAAACAAGCTACACCTGAGCCGTGACAAGCGAGGGCGTCACTGGCATCTCTGAGACTGCCTGGCATTTCTTCTTTAGGAACACAAGTCCCGTTTCCCACAAGCTTTCAGAATATGTTCCACTGTTTTTTTTTCAAAGACAGAATATTAACAAAATAACGGTAGAGCTATCATGGCAGGGTGAAGTGAGTGACATAAAATTGAAAGACATAGCTCTTATTCTTCAAAAACAGTCAGGGGATGTAGTTTACCTAGGCATCGTTTTTTTAGCAATATCTATAAGTATATAGTTTAAATAAAATAAACATTTTTAGCATGGCTTTAAATTATGCTAATTATGATTACTACAAAAGACCAGATACCTAATAATCAAATATTAAGATACTTACCTGTCTAATATTTATGGAATTTTTATTGAAGGCAAAGTTTCCAAAATATTCAAAAAATTCCATCAACAGTAATTCTGCAAAGAAATTTTAAAAAAGAAATTGTTTTAATCCAAAGAAGGGAAAAAACAATGAAACCAAACTCTGCCATCAGTCGACCCGCCCATAGCGAGCGACCGTACAGGACAGGGCAGAACTGAGACTGGAACGCTTTCGGGGGCTGAAAGCCCAGTCTTTCTCCCACAGAGCGGATGACATGCAGTTAGCATCCCAACAAGTAATGACTAGACCACCTGGGCTCCCTCAAAGAAGAAGAGAAAAATCACTTACCTAGTGTTTCTGTGTTTCCTGAAGGTTTAATTCGGTTCAAGTCACTAGTAAAAGTACAGTTGTGGCCTTCTATTACACACTGATCGCCTTCATCTGAAACAAACAGAAATTGAAAATATTTCACAATATATTTTAAATATATTCTCTACTTCGAAGATGAATCTAAGGCCAAAAGCAACCAGTGCTGTCGATTAATCTGGGCTGTCACTCAAGTGCTCTATCAACTTTTGGTTAGGTTTTAAAGGAAGGAAGAAAGGCCTGGCAATCTACTCCCAAAAAGCAGCCAATGAAAAAACCCTGAATCACGCAGGGTCTAAGCCAGTAGTCCATGAGGTTTCCAAGAGCTGGGAGTGACGTCACAACAACAACAACAACAACAACAACAGGGATTTAAAATTCCAAAAGAAATTTTTTGAGATTAGTTATAACAGTAAAATTAACATGATTTTCACTTTACTACTGGCATCATGGACTATCAACATTCTAATTTCTAACTGTCTTCAGAGGTAAATCGGTTTTCGAATTACTATATATACTTGAGTATAAGCCGACCCGAATTATCAGCCAAGGCACCTAATTTTACCACAAAAAACTGCATTAAAAATGTGCTGAAAAAACTTAGCTTATACATTGGTATCTACGGCAAGTAAAAATGAAACTGTAGGTAGGTCCCATTTGTCACCAACGCAAATTTTGGCACTACCTTTAATCAGTAATGTTTAATTTAGAGTTCCCTAACTCTCACCACTTCCCTCTGCATTTATTCAACTGTTCATCCAAGACTCAAACTAAATACCCTAAGAGTCCTGAGGAACTTTGGGCACTTAAAGGCAGTACTCTAAAATGATTGGGGAGCTTCTGAGTGGGACAAACAAGCTACAGACTGACAGGTTAGTGGTTCAAACCCACCCAGAGGTGCTTCAGAAAGACGGATTGACATGCTCCATTGAGAACCCCGTGGAGCCTGTATAGTTCTACTCTGCACACATGGGGCTGCCGACTAAGAACCGACTTGCAGGCAACTGTTCAGATTGTGTTCGTGTGACTGTAATTTAGCACAAATTTAACAATATACCTTTTCTAATATTCTCTTAAGAGATCATCATTTTCCTAATTATTGATGAAAATAGTCATCATGAAATACCTCGTCCACGCTATATCCCACTGTTATTGTGGGAAAACTCCCATGCTTTCTTCAAAAATCTAATCAACAGCCATCCCCACCTGTAAACATCGAACTCCACGCTGCTGCTCTCCGTTTGTGGACCCTCCAGGAGCACTCAATAGGGTGATTCACGCACTGTCCACCCCCCGCCCCAGCCTGGACCTCACAGCCCACTGTCTAACTCATTAATGCTGCTTCTACAGCTCCACCATCACAATATCTAGGATAAACCAAAAAAGGGGAAAAGCCCACTAACTGACACCAACCCTCTGCTGCTAAGTCACAGACAGCAAGCACAAAACATGTTCTGAACGGTTACTGATACTTGCAAATGCCAACCATTATTGGGGAGAAATCAGACTGAGGAAAAACAACATCCTCTTTTGGTTGCACTTTGTTTCTATTTTAGTTTTGGGTTATGACAGCTTCTCAAAAATTACTGAACCTCCAATCAAACATTACTATCATAAACCAGCTGGACAGTGCCAAGGAAGACAAAGGAATGGATGCATCTGAACTGCACAAGAACCAACAAGTTGGTTCTAGAAGAACTAACTACAAGCAGAATCATCTGAAGTGAGGAGGAAGGCTGGCTCCCTGTCTTGGGACACGTCATCCGAACGGCACTGGGTGAGCAAGGGAAGCCCTCGGCGGCGGACGGACACGACAGCCACAGCACGGGGCTCAGACCCAGCTGTCCGGTCTGCGGTCCCCTCCTGTCACTGTGGCCTGATCCAGTGCTGCAGCCACAGGCCACATCTGCCGCTGAAAATGAAAAATGCAGCCTCTCCGTCACACTAGTCAGACTTCAGATTCAGAAGACCAATGTGTGGCTAACTGCTAGCACACTGCAGGCACCTGTAGAACACTTCCATCCTCAGAATGTCCTTAGAAAAGATTCTAAACCCATTCAAACAAATGACACCTTCATCATCATTTGCTTAATCCCATGGCTTTCTTCTTAAAAATGGTGTCAAAAACAGTTTTTGACCAGAAGTTTAGAAGTAAACATAAATTCTCTCTGTGGCGAGAAAAACAGCCTGTAAATACCATTGTTAGCTTGTGATAGAAACCTGCGGTCTGAATCTCGAGAAAGCACCTGTAAGCTTCAAAATTACCTCAACCATGAAAGCTACGTATTCACTGGATCCAGTGTTCCTGTTTCCTTGGGTCTAGCAACTACTTGTTCCTGTACGAAGCATGTGCCAAATGAAATGGAGTACCCTTACCCACAGATAAGGCCAGATTGATAAACTTCCTCACATTTCCCAAGGAACTAACAGACCCCAGAGGAGCCCTGGTGGCACAGTGGTTACGCCTGGGCTGCAATTCCCATGGTCAGCAGTTGGAAGCCAAGAGCAGCCCCGCTGGATAGACTGGGCTTTCAACTCTGGTAAGCAGTTGTCTGGGAAACCCACAGTGGGGTCACTGTGAGTTGGCATTGACGACCTGGCCGGGAGTTTGGTTTGGAGAATGTCCTATAATAAATCAAAGCTGGGCAGAGACCCACTGGCACTATGGGGTATCAAGCGATATTAGGAATCGCAATATACATAAGGTTAACCTGCTGAGTCGGAGCCGTCTTGATGCCAGGGTGTTTGGGTTTTGGATCATCTTTTAGGCTAATCTTTCTGATTAGAAACCAGAAATCCGTTACGTTAACCTCATACATTTCTTATAAAGAGCCCAAAGATGGTAGATACAGAAATAAGGGGCATGATGACATCAGGTCTCCATGAAGGCTCAGTAGTTTTTCTTTTACAGAAATCACTGCGAGGAGCCTTGGATGGCAGGCCTAGTTAACGATCTGTTTCCACCATCCTGAAAACCCCATGGAGCAGGTCTACGCTGCACACATAGGGTCACCATGTATGGCACTGACTTGATGGCAACTAACAACTCATGATAAGAAGAGTTGATGGAAATACATTTAAGCCGTAAAATATTGCATAATTACATTCAGCGTCTATTATAATTATTGCCAGGTCTAAACCCGCTATCATGCTGTAGGTCAGCAGTAATGAAATGAGAAGTCCACAGATGGTTTTGCCCCACTAATGAACTGCTCGATATTTGTGGGGAGGGCAGTGGCTAAGAATGAAGCTTGGGCAAGTTGCCATTTTGCTTGTTTCTAACCCACGCGGCCAGAATAATTTTCCAATATGCAAATGTAAGCACCTTCTTCAGTGTCCTTGGACGTAGCCATGTGAGGAAGCTCAGTGAGTCCACACGGTGATAGCCAGGGCTGCAGAGTAGCTTTATGACCATGCCGTTCCCCCATTCAATGTGTAATTGAAACTTAAAACACTATTCTTCACACAGTCACACCTATATTACAGCCCACTTACTATACACCACTGATTCTAGTCACATAGGCGAAAGGCTACCTGTTCCCACCACCACGCGCCACGCTCCAACAGCACTCTGCCTGGTGGGGGTTGAGCTCAAGCTGTGGCGTGAAGAGAGTGAGCCAAGCAAGGCCGCTACTTTCACCTCTTCCCAAGCACCAGGGTCTACACAGAGGAAATGATGGAAAACCTTGCAGACGGGGAGAACAGAGGAGACAGCTGCACAGCAGAAGAATGGGTAACAATGATGTAGAAGAGCTGAAAAACCGCCTAGAACTCTGATCCAATCGTGAAGAGCGGAGAACACACCGGTAAACATGACAGAACTCCCAAAGCTTGGGGACTGGAAGCACCACCTTATGCCTGGAAACCTGATCGCTCAAGAAACAGGTCCTCCAGATTTCCTCTGCGGCAGGACGTGGTGTTCATTCTGTGGAGAGTACAAAGAATGGCTCTAGACTGGGTGGGAAAGAGCCTCCCCACAGCACAGGGTGCGAACAAGAGCATACCGCAGAGTCTGCTGCCATTATGTCGCCCATCCTCAGAGACCCCGTTCCGAGCAGGATTAGACCGTGTGGGCCACACACTGACAGGAGCTGACTTCTCAACACCAGGTTGCCAGGTTTCTCTTTCTAACCTGACTTAGCAAGAGGGTCGGCAGAAACTTGCTCAGCACCATAAAACGCAAGCGTCCAATGACAGACGGTGGTGTGAGACTGAGTCTCCACCCTAACAAAACACGGGGGATGTCAAAGCTTCAGGACGCAGGTCGCAAGGCCTTCCATGCCAGTCAAATAAACCAATGAGGGAAAGGTTGGAAGAGTCCTTCTACGCAATGTACACAGCCTGAGAGGAATAATCTAGAAAGTCACACCTGAGGCTCTGAATAGAAAGAGCTCAGGCAAGCTTCCTTACAGATTTCATAAGCAACAAACCCCTAAACAAACTTAGATTCTGATTAGCTTTTTAGTTTCTGACCCAAACAAGAGCAAAAGATCAAAGATTATCAGACTTTTAAGAAAAGCCCTTAACATGAGATCAAAGTAAAATTAAATAATTATTTAGGAAAAACAAGGCAACATAAAAAAGATGTTTAAAGTCCTTAAAAGATGGCAACATAAGTACAAGTGTACTTAATACAGCTGAATGATGGGTTGTTATAAGATTTGTAAGAGCTTCCCAACAGAATGATTAATAATATTTTAAAAAGACACAAGAAAGGCAAGAGGATATGGTAATTATCACCTGAAAATAGAAGACAATTGAAAAAATAAAGAATATTTCAATAACAAAATAAGCTCCTGGAAACTAAAATCTGATAGCAGAAATGAAAAGCTCAAGGGCTAGAGGATAAAACTGAAAAGATCTCCCTCAAAGAGCAAGAGAACAGATAGAAAATTAAGGACCAATCCCAAAGTTCCAATATCTGAACAACACTGTTCTTATGGTAATGGACACAAGAATAAGCATAATTGTTAAGGAAAATGTCTTATAATTGAAAGAGACAGGTCTCTAGATCGAAAGGACCCAGCAAGCAAAGAGCAAACGGCGTCTGCCTGACAAGCAGCTAAGAGGGAGCAGTCTGGGCACAATAGAATGTATCCTGTATGGCTTTTACATAACAAAGAAACACAGGCACAAATCAATCCATGCTGTTAAGATGCTACCCCCAGCAGCGGGTACTACTAGCAAACATGAATACAGTATTTGAAAACCAATTTAGAACAGTAATAGTATCTTCTTAAGCAGACTACTGAACTTTTAATTCATTTATAATTGAAATAAAATAGTGTGCTAATTTTAAAAGCATTTGCTTAAGACTGCTTAAACTTTCAAACAGAACCATATTTAAAGCTCAAAGCCAATCCACTGTCCTGGAATCCATTCTGACGCAGAGGGAGCCTACAGGTCGGCCTGGACCTGCTCCACAGCCTCAGGGCTCTCATATCGGGAGCAGACAGCCTCCTCTTTCTCCCAGGGGCCGGTGATGGGTTCAAAAGGAGCTCGTGGTTCGCAGCATAGTGGTTCGGGTCCTTAAACATCCTGAAGCAGTTTTCAGCACCTCTAAGTCTGGAATCGTATTTCAAGTCCAAAAAATTATCTCTGAAAATGTGTGGGGGACTCCCACTGTCTCGTGGTCACTGTATTGCCACATGGTCAACTCTGTGGATAATACCAAGAAGACAAAACTCTCAAAGAATTCTAGAAGCCCAATTCCACAAGTCATCTGTTCCCAAGAGCCCTTGTGGTGAATACAAAAACATGTCATTTTATATTCATAAAGCTTTAAAAATACAAAGACAAATTCAACAACCAAGACACACAAGACTTGATCAACACATTGCAAATATAGCCACTCAAAACACCAGAAAGAAAAAGTAGACAATCAGAGAGGTCTGAAGCTAGCCTTACCTGCTAGAGTTTTCAGGTAATCCAGAGTTGGGAGAAGAGGGGGGGATCTTCTCTGGAGAAAAAAGATGACCATCATCGTAAGGGAGAAATTTGTTATCCAAGCACCAGGAATACTACTTGTCAGCGAATGCGCACGGGCCCAGCATCTTATACTGAACACCAAGGCTCTTACGCGCGAGTCCAGGGTACCATACATATACAGGAGTTCGGAACTTTTCAGGGCAATCCTTGAAAATAAAAAGAATTCCAACTTCTTAAATTCTCATGCAAGGGTAGATTAAAACACACTCAGGAACTTAATCTCATGATCTCATTAGACATGAGTATATTTAAAGAAAAAAACATCACCAGATCAAAAGCATGATGTATCTGCAGTAGTGAAAGATTAAATATCAAATATACTCATCATCATTATTGAAACATTCTTTTAAATGTTTCCTAAAACTTGGAAGTTTCCATCCGTCTCCAAGCAGGACTTCAACAGTAATTGAGCACACTACCTAACGTGCTCTTTTACATGATCCCTGGAGATACCACTACATCTCTAAAGGACATTCTCTACATCTTAGTTTGCCAGGGTAAGTCAAAAACTATTGCTACAAAATCCTAGAAACAAAAATTGCAAAGTATGAAGCGACTGTTTTTTGACATCCCTCTACCTGAGTCTACAGTGCCGAGGGGACGCGTTTCCATCCCTCACCTTCCCCAAAACCCAGTGCTCACTTGCACCGCATCAAAGAGACAGTTTAGGCATCCTCAAGGGACTCACTCACATCACATTCTTTTGAAGTCTTTAACGTTTGGGGACCAAAACAGCACTCAGAAGGGGGCAGACGAGGTAAGGGTCTCACGGGAGAGCCTGTGTGACGACGCTCCACGGAGTAGGAGCACTGTCTTGGCAGAAACAAAGTCCTCAGGGCAACTTTCCTGGCCTTTCCCTTACAGATCTCCTAAAACCTTTCAACTTAAGCCCCCGATCACCTCACTTTAAGAAAAGCTGCCAGGATTACTCTATTGGAGCCCAATGAACAGCTGTCATAACCTGTGGAGCTGACCACGGGTATTGAAGGCACCCGAATGAGACCCATGCATATAGGACCTGGACCCTAGTAGCAATACTTCTTGACTTACCCCTGGTACACCTTGCTTATCTAGTCCTTTGGTATACAAGTTAGCCTAAAAACAAAAGGAAACATTCTATTCATTTCATCAAGGAAAAATAAAATGTGTGAAAATATTCTAATTTTTTAAAAAAAATCTAAGCTTAATAAAAAGCTTTACAAAAGCAAAACTCAGTAAGATCAAGCAGGGTCTCTAAAGAACTCACACTTCAGGCCCGATTTTAAAGATATTTCCTAATGCTAATGCTATGTGCATCTTTAAAGAACTATTTTGTTGTGGTTGAATACACACAGCAAAGCATGCAGCAATGTCTGGGTGTACAATGCAGTCACACTGATTATATTCTCAAATCACGCAACCGCTCTCTGTGTCCTCCACTGAACTGTTCCTCTCCCACTGACTAACCTCACTGCCCCTTAAGCTTCCTAACTAATGGTCTGAGGTGCTATTGTTGATATGGTCCCACAAAGAGAGTTCTTTGAAAGAGAATTCTTTGATGCTCCGCATGAATAACTGCCTCCTTTACCATGAGACCAGAAGAACTACGGGTGTCAGTTGCCATTATTAAACATTTTGATCAAAACTGCGATGGGAAAACTCCCATCAAAGGGGAGGAGGAGAGGGGGAATACAGAATCAAATTTAAAATTTCCATGTACGCTAGATTTTTCTAGAGCCATGAGATAGATTAACCCTGAAACTAGCACCTTAATCTGTAAACCTTCAACTAAAAACAACCCAGGAAATCCTCTTAAAATCAACTAGCAATTTAGCTTAACTAGTACTAAAGGTTTGCCTTGAGCATTATGCTCTTTATGAGACTAAATCGATAACTAAACCAAACCAAATCGACCATCATCGAGCTAATTCCAGCTCATAGGGACCTGCCTGACAGAGGAGAAAGGCCCCCTGGGTTTCCAGGACTATATAACTATCATGGATGGGAGTCGAAAGCCGCGTCTTTCTCCCAGAGAGAGAATGGGGACTGCGAACTGCTGACACTGCTAGCAGCCGACACATAACCACAGCACACAAGCCAAAAGATCCGACCGAAACTGAAGGGGCAGTGACTTTATATTAGTGGAGGGCGAACAACGCAGAACAGGTGGAAGATGGCACAACTTGAAGAATGGAATCAGAGTCACTGAATTATACAAGTAGTAATGACTGGACTGTTATGACTGGACTTTTATATCCTGCTGCATCTATTCTCACTACCATAGTGGGTACAATTGCTGAGTTTTTCAGCACATTTTTAATGCAGTTTTTGTGGTAAAATTAAGTGGCTCAGCTGATATTTAGGTTGGCTTATACTCGAGTATATATGGTAAGTAAAATTATGGGGAAAACAAAACAAAACACAATTATAAAACCCGACATTCTTTATTAATTAAGCTAAATTGTAGTTTGATTTCAAGTCTTCATGGGATATTTTTAGTTTAAGGTTTAAAGACTGTCTCCAGACAATATTCATGGGGATTCATCCAGCTTCAATGGCAGCTAAGTCTGAGTTCCATGAGAAAATTCAAAGAACGATTAATCAGACATATTTAAAATCAAGTACCTACAGACCATTACCTGAATTGCAATATTTTAAAGAACCAACAGGGGGCACGAAACCCTTTGTTTAAAAAGAGCAAGTTCAAAGTTCTGGAAAATGTCTCCAGGACATTTACTTCCTGGGTGTAAAGAAAAGAGACATTCACAGAGAAAATTTTATTTTATGTAAATAAACCTGAATTAGGCTGAAAAAGAAATGAAATACAAACAGACGCCTATGATATAAACAAATCGTTAGTGTAAAACCTCAAAGAAAGCAACTATTTTAGAGCCTGTCCTTCCCAAAGAAAACTATTATAAAGATACATATCAGTTTGTCATACTTTACATACTATAAACAAAATGTGGCAATGTTAGAAAGTGTCGTTTATATCTTTATCCAAATTTGGCAAAATATAAAAATCAAAGATACTTTACTTCACAGTGTAAAGAGAGCTGGCCTGGCTTGTTATGAATACGTAAGCCTAACTTAAGCTTACACAAATACTTAACTGTTTATTTTCGTTATACTTATTGGACTCGACTGGACTGTATTTTAGTTACAATTATTTATCTACTAGTTAATATAGTGGAATCAAACACAGGCAACGAGGGCAGTACAGTGAGGATGTAAATCTCTCACTTGACAAGTGTCCCCACTGAAAACTGCAGGAATGGAATCAGAGTTTGCAACGACTTGTCAGTCTCCTTGGTTTATAAGACACCAGTAGCAAGGATAATAAAATACAAATATAGTAAAGCTATTGAAACCACTTACCTAAGAAAAAGAGATCACAGTTATTATAAAAAGCTGGCCTGGAGGAATTCAGAAGTCAAAATTGTTTCTAATTTTCTAATTATATTCAGACCCTATGACTACATACTTCCACCATGCTATCAGGTTATCAGGATATACCAGTAAAAACAATGAAATACAATGCTGATGAGAAGAATTGCAATGAATTGCTTAATTTTGCCCTTCTAGCCGTAGTGTTTTATTCTTTGACGTCTTTGCTGTGAATACCAGCCTGGGCACTTTTGGTTACGGCTCCATCTGCAGTGGGTTATCCATTAATCAATATGGTAGAACGAAAGTGGGATGGATTTTGAGTTCCAGCCTTATAAGAGGATGTGACTCCAATCGCCGCCCTTAGTTTCCTTGGGAGTGTGGTCAACATCCAATATTAGAGGGCATTTCAAGAAGTTCATGGGGAAAAAAAAAAATCTTGTCTTTTAATTCTACGTTTACAAGCCCTTCGAAGCCCCTCGTGCAGAATGGCCAAGTCCTCTCTCTTGCTCTGGATCTGCTTTCTGGTGACTGCTTCTTGAGACTTGAGCCAGCAGCCTACTGCTGGGTCTGATCTGCCGGCTCCCGTGGCTTTCTGCGACAGTGGCTTGTCCTCTAACCTGCTGACCTGTGTTCTTCAGCTCCTACAGCCATGTGGGGCCGAGGAGCCGATCCGCATGTGTGGGATTTGCAAGCCTGCACAACCTGGGAGGCATGCTCTGGTGGTTTCTGGGTTCTGTAAGAAGTTGCAGGGGATGATGGAGGAGCAGGGGATGCTAAGATGATGGAGTGGCACAGCACATGGAAAAGGTGGACACCTGGGACATCTCTAATCCCCACCACTTCAGAGGAACTAGCTTTGTGTTGATTCTTTAGTTATTCATGCAATAAGCTCACAGTTTAACACAATATCCTAACACTTTGTTTAGGAACACCAACAAATGCATTCAGTAAAAGAAAATACAGCATTTTGTATTGTCAAAACCAAGTGTTCAAAGAAAAATAAAATCAAACAAACACAGTAATACAATATACTGAAGGGTCCACAACTATGCTAACATCTTATAACATTCCCACTTAAGATGAAAAATTGAAGCAAGCATACCTATTGTTAGAAGTCAAATCACACTGAAATCCAGAGGCCTGCTGGGAAAACCTCACCAGTGGACATCGGGCATTTAATATTTTCTGGACACCCACACAGCCTGGACCAAAGTGGTCGAGACACTCTCCTATCACCGACAGGATCTTCTGTGTTGCAATTCTCTCTGAAGGAACACTTTTCACTTGAAATTCCATCTGAAAATGTCCTGAGGTCTGAATAACAAACAAATATTTGTATTGAGAAGCATTTTATAATAAAGAATTTAACTTTTTTAATTGAGTGCACTATACGATTTCTGAGGAAAATAAAAAACCTTGAACACAAAAAATTCTTCATGCAATCAAAGCCAAAAGTGGATGTAAAAAAATCTTTGTCTTTTGTTTCTTCAGAGCATAAGTTGTTCATTTGAAAACCCTTTTTGTAATTGACGTACACACCCACCCTCCCACTGCCACCGTGCTGATGCTGACTCTGATCCTACAGAACAGAGCCAGAGCCCCCTCTCTGAGGCTCGAGGCTCAGTCTTCACGGGGCAGCCGGCTCCATCTTTCTCCTCAGGAGAAACCAGGAGGTTTGACCTTCTGTTTAGTAGCTCAAGGCTTCATTCACCACATCACCATGTAATAATCTCTTTTGCAACACATTACATTATCATAAAGCTTTTTATATAATCACTTACTCTATGTATTCAGTGAACATACATTTGCCCTTTTCAAATTAGCCCTTAAATTGTAATAGACTAAATCCACAATGGTACAGGAACAGCAGAGCAATGGAAGAAAGGGGAAAGGTGTCTGCAGAGGCCTACTTTACATCCGCACAACAAAGCCCACTCCCATTAAGCAGATGCTGACTGACAGCAACCCCTGAGGTCAAAGTAGAACTGCTGCCTGGGGTTTTTCAGGCTGTAAATCTCCACTGGAGCAGACAACACATGCTCCTCTCCAGGAACAACTGCGGCTGCACCGTGGACCTGGGGCTGGCAGCTCCTTGTTCACCGCACAGCACCAGCAGCGCACGCTACATTAGGAACATGATATTTAATGACACAAAGTCTGCACAAACTCCACTCTCTGCCAAGGAGTCGATGCCGACTCACAGCGACCCTGGAAGACAGGGAAACTGCCCCTGTGAGTTTCCAAGACCAGAACTCTACAGGAGCAGAAAGCCCTGTCTTTCTCCCAAGGAGCAGCTGGTGGTTTCAAACTGCTGGCCTTGCAGTTAGCAGCTCAATGGGGGCTCCCTGAAGTCTGTGGATTAGCGGATAAAACACTGTTATTCAATGACTGACTTACTGGCCAGTCTAAGCACGGCCAGAGTCAATTCTGACTCAGCGACCATAAGTAAGGAATTAGGAGACTGTAAGTCGTTACAGCAGCAGGCGGCTTCATCTTCCTCCTGGGGAGCTGCTGCTGGGTTGGACCTTGCGCTGAGCAGCCCAATGCCTGACCCAGAGCAAGCGCCACTGAGCTCCAAATAAATAAAATAAAGCCTAGATCCCCCAATTAGTCCTAAAACCAAAGTAAAATCAACATGGACCAATGATTTTAATGGAAAAAGTTTTATCAGAAAAATACTAGAAGACAATGGGCAAGTATTCTCAAAATCTTACAGCAAGAGCACACAAATTTCAGGAGACAACAAAGTAGAAATAAGGTTGCACAAAAATTAAAACTATCTTAGGATAAAACACAAAAAGGCTAAGTGAGACACTAATACCTATGTCACACAAGGAGCTAATTTCTATTACAGAAATTATATATATTATAGAAAGCATGTATAATTATAGACACATTTATATATAAATTATATATTTAATATATGAACTGCATTTCATACACTGAAACGCACTCACTGCCATTATGCTGATTCTGACTCATAGCAACCTTATAGATAGGGCAGAACTTCCCCTGTGGGTTTGAGATTGGAACGTTTTACGGAAGTAGAGACTAGTCTTTCTCCTGAAGAGAGGCCAATGGTTTCAAACTGCAGACCTTGCGGTTAGCAGCCCAATGCATAACAACTATGCCTAGCTCTTACAATAGGAGAAGCAAAATACAGTTTTAAAACCAGACAAAAGAATACTTGAATAGGAGACAACATCCACAGAAAGGAAACGGTTAAGGACTATATTAAAGATGCTCACATTTTCTACAAGTGGAAGAAGTAGAAATGAGAACAGTGAAAGAAGTAGAAATTAAAACAGTGGGATTTATAGTATATTACACTGGCAAAGACGAAGAAACCAACAGCCCAGGCACTGGTCTGTACAGTGAAACAAGGATTCAAAAACATTATTGATAGAGTCTAAACTGGCAAGACTTTGGAGAAGTTGTCAATATCTACTGAAGCTTTTTGTGTATGATACTTTGACTATCAGAGTAAAGAAAATTATTGCAAAGGCACATTAGCATAAGTGAGCTGTGTTTCCACTGCTGTTCACTCTGCCTCAGTACTCATGTGGCAGACCCCTTTGAGAAGAACCGCCTGGCAGGGTTTTGCTTAGATACGCATGCGGCCGCCTGATTGGGGAGCTCACTGGAGTCTGTGGCAACGAAGCACCAGCTCTCGCAGTAAGACTCCCTGTCCTCCACCAGGAGTCCTGCTGGTGCAGGAAGTGATTTGGGTTGGATTCTAACCATCAGGTCAGCTGTTCACCCCCACCAGCAGCTCTGCAAAAGACAGACCTGGAAGCCTGCTGCCAGGGAAGACTTCACTCTAGGAGACCCCAAGAGGAAGTTCACATTGTCAAATGATTTCACTCTAGGAGACCCCAGGAGGAAGTTCACGTTGTCAAATGAAGTCATGAGTTCTAACTGCCTCACCGGTATGCAACCACCAGCATGGTTGTACACAACAGGAGTTCTGAACTCTTCCCCTAGTGGGAGGGCCAAGACCTCACCAGCCATGTCTATACCCGGAACCCACCCCTTTATACCCAGAGGAGTGGACCGAGCAAGACTGTGGATCTACAGCACTGGGACAGCAGACTTGTAGTAATGATAAATAAGCCATTCATCAGTCTCTGAAAAAAAATGAAGTTCACTGCCATTAAGTTGATTCTGACTCAGAGAAACACTGTAGGGCAGAGTAGAACTGGTTCCAAAGGTTTCCAAGGCTGTAAATCTTTGTGCGTTTCAGTTGGTGGATTCAAACTGCTGACCCTGAGTGATTTATCAGTCCAACAATGTAATCCACTGTTTCCCTTGTAAGATTTCTCTTACCACTCTCTAGTTCTCTAAATTCTTAACTTGAAATTATGATAATGTTCTATAGAAATATAATTACCTTTCCGGGATTGAGCCTTCCGGTTTCATCTAAATCCAAAAACATGTCCAAATCACATCCTAGTTTCCCAAAGCTATTCACCGAAGAGCCAAAGGGTCTGACGGTACAGTCTGGGAGATAGGCCGCGGCGATGTCTTCAATAAGAGAACAGGTTAGATGCCGGAGCTTAGCGTTCTCCTCTGTGATCTGGAATTCCTTCAAGAGTGTGTTCAGCTGATCATCCATCTAGCTGGCCAAAACAAACCACAACAACACACAATGTACAAGTCACATCATATAAAATGGCCATTTTTACTTCGAGACCAACCTTGAAAATATTCCATTTTCCCTTCTTCAACCTTCAAAGCACATTTTTTTCAAATGTCCTTTGAACACACTGAGATGTAGGACTGGATGATACTGGGCTATTATTGCTTACATTTTCATCAAAGGTGGACTTTGGGTGAGTTCAAGACCTATTGGTTTGAGGGTGCCCAATGAATGATGACCCAAAACCAACATATACTTGCTCTTTTCCCATCCTTTGTCTTTTTGGTACATGTGTTAATATATCCAGGATGATTCTGCCTTTGTAAATGAGTGTTATTCAAAGTATTGCCATATCTCCAACCTTCACAGCTTGTACAACTGGTGTCCAATCACCCAAGCTATGAGGATGTACAAGTTAACAATTCAAGTACTGGGGTCTTAAATGATGCCCTATACATGTACAAAATTCTTTGCACAACAGTGGTTTACTATCGATTATCCTAATGTTACCATCAATAGAATGACCTTAAGCACCATGGGATGAGCTATGTCCTACAATAAAACGATAACCTTGTCACTAAAAATGGGCCTGGGACATAGAGAAACAGTTAATTTGAATAGATTTTGAACTGTTAGTTGATCACAGCCCTAATATAAGAACAATTCATTCTTGTGACAAGGCCCTGCTCAGTACTCACCTTCATGAGATCATCGAAGATATGGATGCCCTAACAAAGTGTTGTGAAGAATCCGGTTGGTGCCTGGCTATCAGGAAAAATGGTATATGGGGTCTTAGAGGCTTGTCTCAAAACACAGCCAGCTAATCGAGGAGTCAGCTGTGTGATCCAAAGATTTTAAACAATAAGATCCAAACCCAGAGGAGGAAACTGCACCTGTGCCTAAATTCCAAGCACTTGGCTTGTGGAACATATGGTAATGGAAGCCCAGAATCCATTTGCAGGATCCCTACCCACACTGAGGCCCGACTGAATCCCCACTGCCCGCAGTCTAGGTATGTGAAAAACCCTGACAGCCAACAAAGCAAGAACACTGTAAAGTGGGTGTAAGCAGCTGTATTTAGACTGGAATGCAATTCTTTGTCTTTAGATCTCTTTGGACCTACCGTATATACTCAAGTATAAGCAGAGTTTTTTCAGCACATTTTTAATGTGGAAAAAGCCCCCCAGTTTTTTGCAGTAAAAGTAGGTGCCTCAGCTTATACTATTATATACGGTACTTTCAATTTATTCTAAATTTTCCTGATGCTCTTCTTGTTCTTAGATTGGGGTCTTTCTCTGTTTTATATGATCCGTGTTACTGGGTCCTTTTATTCCTTTTTTTGGTGTGTTTTGTATAGGGAAAACAGGCAGGATAGGTGGATTCATAAAAACTATAACTGAAATCATACTTATCAGATGGCATGGAAGGGGGTGGGATGGAGAATCAACACCAATGGGCACAAGAAGGGAGAAAATGGTCCAAAGCTGACTGTGGTGATGACTGCACAATCCTTCTTAAGATGACTGAACTCTTGAATTGCATGTGTCAATAAAACTAACTTAAAAAGAGGGAGGACAACTGTGGAAAATAATTTAAAATGCTCACTGTATCCTGACTTTCTAAAATTACTGATGCTGGATGGACCCCCAAACTATCACCCTAATATAATTTTTAAGCCTTAAATCAAAAATACCCACTGACATTTTCTTAAAGCCAAACAACAGTTCGGTTTAACTTATAAATGTCTGCCTTGAGCACCGTGCTCTTTCTAAGACCACACTGACAAGTCCAACTAGACAGACAAGGCATGGGGAGCATCTGCTAATGGGGTGGGACAATTTGGAAAGGGAGTGTGAGAGTGGTGGTGCACCGGGAAGAACACAATCAATGCCACCGAACTGAACATGTAGAAATTGTTAGATTGGGAGGGGGGAAATGAGGAGTTGATACCAGGGGCTCAAGTAGAAAGCAAATGTTTTGAGAATGATGAGGGCAACAAATATATACAAATGTGCTTGACACAATAGACATATGTATGGATTATAATAAAGAGTTGTACAAGCCCCCAATAAGATGATTAAAAAAAGAAGAAATTGTTAGATTGGTGTATACTCTACTATGTATACTCTCAACAACAAAAAACCAAATCCGACTCACTGCCATTGAATCAATTCTGACTCATGGCGACCCTATTAAACATGGCAGATCTGCCCCTGTGGGTTCCCGAGACTAACTCCTTACAGGATTAGAAAGACTCATCTTTCTCCCTCAAAAGTGGCTGGGGGGTTCTCAAACTGAGGACCACTATGCCACCAGGGCTCCTACAGAGCAGTAGAAATTTTAAACTCACAATTTGGACTAAAAAGGTATTTGGATAAATAAAAGCGTGTACAGATTCCTTTAAAGTTCTGAATTTACAAGTTTTGCTAACACTGAGCAAAAAAGTCAAGACAGGTAGTTTATAGACAGGAGAAGATACAGCTAGTAATAAATATTTACAATGTACAGAATACGATGTAAAATTTTATGTTAACTTGTTGAAAAGAAAAAGAAAACCTATAAAGTTCAATGGGCAAAGCCTCTGGAAGAACAGTTACCTGAAAGGAACATAAGTCAGGTGGTAGAAAGATGGGACTTTCCACTCCCGTAAAGAATTAGTCTGGGAAACTCACCAAGGCAGCTCGAATCAACTCGATGACAGTGAGTTTGTTCTGAACTGTTTGAATGGTTTAATAACAACACATATACAGGTGTGTACATGTGCATATATAAACATACAAGGTACTTGGCTGGCACAGTTTGCACTCGACTACTGCCAGACTAAATGTTGGTGGTTTGAGCTCAAGTAGCAGTTCAAAAGGAAGGAATGCCTGGCTATGTGTTTCTGTGACGATTACAGAGATGATCCTGATGAATCAGTTCTATCCTGTAACACATGAAGTTGCCATGAGAAGAACTCAATGGCAACAAGGTTTTATAAAATTTTACAAGGGCAAATTTTTAAATATCACTAAAAAAATCATCAAAATCTTCATTAAACAAAAATACCAAATCCTGTCTAGGTCCATACACTTTTCCTTCCATCTCCCTAACCCCATCCCCTACTTTCTACCGCAATTCTGCCCTCTTCAATTTACAGCATCTCCAAACAGTAGTTTAGAGATCCTCGAGGTACTGCAATTGTGTGCCTCTTACACGATTTTTGAGTTTAGGGAATAAGAAGCAGTCTCACAGAGCAAGACCAAGTGCACAGAGTGGATGGGGTGAGGTTTCTCACAGCACAGCCCTTGCCGTCCTCAAAGATGAACAAGCAGGTGCATTGTCGTTAAGGGGGGGGGGTGCATCTGTATAACTTTTGTGTGATAATACTGTCTTTCACGAAAATCTATCAATATTACCCATTTGAAATCCTACCCCACAAGGTTGCTGTATCTTCTGAGCTAACTTCTCTCTACCTTGTTTTCATCTTCGAGGTCTTCGTGGCCTCCCATAAAAATTGTTTTCTTAGCTGATGGTCCCCGGCTGTCCAAAGGTATAGCGTCTGGGGTCTTATAGGCTTAAAGGTAAACAAGCGGCCATCAAGAAGCTCAGAAGCAACAAAGCCCACATGGAAGAAGCGCACCAGCCTATGCGATCACGAGGTGTCGAAGGGATCAGGTATCAGGCATCATCAGAACAAAAAATCTTACCATAGTGAATGATAGGGGGAGTGCGGAGTGGAGACCCAAAGCCCATTAGTAGGCCACTGGAGATCCCCTTGCATAGGGGTCTCAGGGAGGAGACGAGCCAGACAGGGTGTGATGTAGCAACGATGAAACATACAACTTTCCTCTAGTTCCTAAATGCTTCCTCCCCGCCCCTACTATCATGATCCCAATTCTACCTTGCAAGTCTGACTAGACCAGAGGATGTACACTGGTACAGATAGGAACTGGAAACACAGGGAATCCAGGGCGGATGAGCCCTTCAGGACCAGTGTTGTGAGTGGCGATACTGGGAGGGTAGAGGGAGAGTGGGTTGGAGAGGGAACCGATTACAAGGAACTGTATGTGATCTCCTCCCTGGGGGACGGACAACAGAAAAGTGGGTGAAGGGAGACGTTGGACAGGGAAAGATATGACAAAATAATAATTTATAAATTATCAAGGGCTCATGAGGGAGGGGGAGCGGGGAGGGAGGGGAAAAATGAGGACCTAATGCCGGGGGGCTTAAGTGGAGAGGAAATGTTTTGAGAATGATGAGGGCAATGAATGTACAAATGTGCTTTACACAATTGATGTGTGTATGGGTTGTGATAAGAGTTGTATGAGCCCCTAATAAAACGATTTAAAAAACTGTTTTTGTATGTGGGGCAGAATTCTCATAAATTTCTACCAGTTACAATGAGTTGAAAGATTTCCACTTGAATCCTATTAAAACTCTTATTAGCCCTGACTTCGAAACACTAGGAGCATGGGTGGCACAGTGGGATGGTCAGTGGGCTCCTAACCAAAGCTCAGTGGCATAAACCCGCCATCTGCCTGCAGGAGAAAGGAGATGCTTTCTGTTCCTGCGAGTTAAGTCACCGAGCTGATGACGGTGAATTTGGTTTTTGTTTTGAGCATGTACGTTTCTGAGGGTTTTCTACAGACAGTTGCTTATTACAGAGACATGTTTAAATGCGGTTTATGTGAAATAAACCTGTGCAAGCAGGAACTAGAATCCCTGTAGCAATACTTTTGGTATACACAGAACACACATTTTTAAAGGCTGTTGGAATTAGAAAGGTAAACTTACACTTTCTGCACGACAAAGTAATTGAAAAAGCTTCTTGCTGGCAGGAGGCAATTGATTACTACATTGTACATTAGGCTGTTCAGAACCCGGATTTAATGGATTCGTCCACTTTAAATTGAAGAAACGTGATCTGAATGGAATTGCAGTTTCTGTGCCCAAGTTTGGAGTACAAACTGCATCCTGCAGCGAAGCCACGCTTTCCTTTTGGCAAAATTCTATAACAGCATGAAGACCCTGTGCCAGAAAGATGAAACAGAGTACATTTATAGTGGCACCTGTAAAACAGCATTTTAGTTCTTCCACAATGAGCACCATAATTCTAACAGAACTCATTGTTGTTTACAAATTACACATTTCTATAAGCATTCATTTTAATCATTGAGTCGATTAAAAATAAAACCTCCACATAGATATTACTCAAAAGAAGGCAAAATAATATAAAAAAGAAAATTGAAGAGGCAAAAAAAAAAGCCCCATTGTCTGGACAACAATGGGACTATCAAAAGTATTCAAATAATGAAATAATCCCATTATAAATTCCTTATAATTCTATAGTACTGCCGTAAGTAGCTCTGTTCTCGTGTCCAAAAAAAACCATTAAAGAAAAGTTTCAGGAAGCTGCAGTCTCCAAAATAAGTCTTATTTCTCCATAGTCTGAAGAGGCAACAAAACAAACATACCTAATGGGAACATACATTCCTGAAGGTCATGAACGTTGTTAAATCCACATACAGATACTTACAAAGCTTTCATAGAAGAAATGACTGTTAATGGGGCCGTGTTGGGATATATACTTAATAAACTTTTTTTCACTGATTTTATTTGGGCAATTTATTAAAACCGTCCGCTGTGCCTGTTCTCGTCTTTCTTTTTGCACCTCCGAGAATCTCTTTTTGAGGATCTTGTCTTGAGAGTCTACAAGTGAAACAAAAACATTTCCCTCACCAAACACTCAAGCTCATTGACATGAAGTAGATTCTGACTCACAGTGTCCAGAGGCCACCTGCTCTCCGGTTGGTTTCCCCGGCTGTGCATCTTTACGGGAGCAGAGAGCCTTATCTCCTGTCAGTGGGCTTGAGCCATGCACTCTGCAGCCCCACTCTTCACCCACTGAGCTACCAACCCGTAGCCACTTTACCCAAGGCACACCAGGGCTCTTTATTTCTATCACGCACACATACAATTTAAATCACATTTTGCTGGAATACACAAAGATTTTAGATCTAAAACCGCCTGCATTCTAATTCTATCTTTCTCTGCCCCTCTAAAAGTTAAGCTATACTACGGTCATCTTTACCATTCTCCCATAACGCTCATTAGAAATATCCACTTCCTGTTTGGGTTGATGACACACTACACGGAATACAAGAGTAAAGCGTTCTGCCAAACTTTTCAAAGTAAAAGCAGAAAATAAGAAGACTCATTTAACACTGCCCCAAACAAAAATCTTTGCAAACTGTGATATTCCAAAACCTTAAGGAACTAAAAGGTAAATCTGAGGGTAGGTAGACAAGGGTTGAGAAGTTTAGTCAAAAGTCTTGATCTGGTTCAAATACTAATGAGTAACCCATTACCATGTGTGCTTTACAACAGGAAAACCAAAGAATTTAAAAGCTAGGTGCTGTCCATGAATGGGAGGTTATTTACTAAGAAAACAGAATTTTTTTTAATTTAAAAACTACTCTAGGGGCTAGAGATTTTACAATCACAGAAAATTGGGGGGGGTGGCAGGTAGGAGAGTCAAGAACGAGATTTTAATAATTCACTGGCCACAAAGGATTTATCAACCAGAGACTGAGGCGAGGCGACCATGAGAGAGCAGAGGAGCAGACGAAGACTAGAAGACTCTGAGGCAGTGCAGAGGGCCGGCTTTAAGGCACACGGAGGCAGGGGCCAAGAGACCATAAAGCTGAGAGGCTGCAGAGACATTACTATGGATGAACAACTGCATCCTTACTGCTTGCTGTTTACAGATCCTAATCAGTCGTAATCTGCTAACTTCCAATAAGCCCTCCTCATCTTGAGTATTACCCAGGAGTTCTGAGTGCCGCTACAAAGATCACTGAACCCAGAATAGAAGCAGAGTGCCATGGGAGGAACGATTGGTATCAGAATAGGTAAAGAAAGACGGAGGGTGAAGCCGGGCTGACCCCTGCCTCATGGAGCCAGGAGATCAGATGCAGCTCCCCCTGCCATTTTAGCCCCATCACACTTACTCTATCTACCCCATTGGCTAAGCCAGGGCTATTTTCAACACTATATCCTCTTGGTCTAAAGGGGAGATATGTGATCGGTTAAAAGTATTTCCCTGGAATTTTCCACATACGGGTAAAACATTTTCTTCATCTCCTTGGAAAAACCTGTAAGTATGTGCACATAGACCTGTGAGTGGCCATGCCCCTGGACCATCGGCTCCAATGTAGAAGAAGCTGAGACTTAGAACAGCTAAAGGAAGCAGTATTTCTTCCCTACATGCTGAGTGATCTGGCTGACCCTAAAAACAAAACCACCCCACTGTCCATTTAATTCCAATTCACGGCGATCCTACAAAACAGAACTCTCCCGGCCCACTTCCAAGGCTATCGCTTTCTAGGGGCAGAAAGCCTCATCTTTCTCCCAAGGAGTGGTGGAGTCCCGCAGTCCCTGGGAATCGGCTCACTTGCCAGGACCACAAGACCGTTCTCACGGTCCTCACCATCTTCTGCATGCTCCAGTCTGCAGGGAATTCTCCCGAGTTGGAGAAGCTCCGCCCTACGCTACAACAACCAGGCACCATTGAGAAAGCCGAGGCGTTCCAACTTCAGGAGAACCACCAGACTGGGCGGACTGCGTCCAACATGATCGAGAACCTTCTCCCCGAGGAGGAAGATGGGTGTGTTCTCCCAGACCCCGAAGACTGCAAGCACTTCAAGCCTGAAACCCTAACCCCCCAAAGCCCCCCAACTGCCGAGCCGACGCGCAAACCCTGGACGAGAACTCCTTGCTTCAGGAGCAGTATCCTCACACTTGGCATGCCCCAGGTGGGAAGCCTTTTAAAGCGTTACATAACGGGGCTTTTTAAATTTAAAAACAACAAACAATAAAACCACCAACAGACGGCATCGCAGAGGTAGCACACGAGTGGCCCCGAAGGAAGACAAGGCACGAATCCCTGAAGGTCATATCCTCAGCCTCCGGCCCACAGTGCCACGGCCGTTTGCTGGGACTCGCCCGCGGAGCCCGTCCCCGTCCCCTCCCTCCAGCCCGCGGGGCTCCGCGCGGAGCCACGCCAGGACGCCGCCCCATCACCTGGCTCCACGCTTCCGGGAAGCTGCTCCTCGCCCTTCAGGTCCGCGGCCACGGTTCCTGCACACCTGAAAAGGCGGTGAACGGGGCGACGAACCGGCCCCCTGCCCTGGGCACAGCGGGGCACGTAGGTCAACCAGCCCGCGCCGCGGGCCGCCATGGTAAACGCCGCAGTCCCGGAAGACAAGGGGGGTCGCTGGGTTCCGCGCATGCGTCTTGGGACGGAAAGGACGGGAAGCCTCGAGGGTCAAACTAGGCGCAAGACGTTCACTTTTGGGGGCGGGCGCTACAAATTGAATCGCGATCCAAACGAAGATTCCTGAGCTTTGGGACCAGCTTTGCTTCCGCTTTTCCGCAGTTTCCTAAATGAGCATTCCAATCTAAACGCTTGCACGTCGCATTCCATTCTCACAACACTGTATGCACGGGTAAGTAGTGCACTTATTCACAAAGTGCAACTTACACGTTTCATTCATACCCCCACACACACACATACACACAAAAGAGGACCCTGATGGAGGCTGAGTTCAGAACTAAACACGGTTTTGTCTTCTAATGCTGTATTAAACTTGGACACTAGAGGGAGGATCTTTTAGGAAATGTTAGTTGTGTGACTGCCAAATAATTTCTGACTAACTCAGTTTCATTAAATTGTTCCCCTCCTCTTGCTTTCCCTTTCATGAATAATTAATATTTTAGAAATTAGCCTCACTAATTAGACTATACTCCTTTGCTCCCATTCATAGAAAAGGAAAAAACCCTTTAATTTCTCTCAATACCTTTAGAGACGATAAGTGAACAAGAATTAAAAATCCAAAATAAAGATCGCATCCAATTTATATAATGGAGTGGATGTAGTCTATTTGAAAGCAATTTTTAAAGATTCAAGGGGAAAGACTGGAGGGTTCTATGAGGAAAAGCATTAAATGACACAGGAAGCATTAGAAGACAAAGGAAGAAATGCAGACAATCACTGCACCAAAAGAACTGGTGGCAGCATATAAACCACATAAAGAAAATGAAAATACTCACCTTTGGACCAATAAGCTACTCCATGAGAAACAGGGAATATTGACATCTCGCGATTTTGTTTATCTTCTAACCACAGTTCGTGCCTCGGAAGCAGCTGTCAAGAAATCAAACGAGACCTTGCCTTAGGCAAATATACAAAAGACCTCTTTAAAATACTTAAAAACAAAGATTTCACTTTGACAACCAAGTTGTCCTCTGAGTCGGGAGCATCTACTTTGTACGCACGTGAAAGCCGGAAGACTGGAGAAGCATTTGAATTATGGGGTTGGCAAGGAATCTTGAAGGTACTGCAGACTTGCGGAAGAAGGAATACATCCTGGAAGACGTACAGCCAGAATGCTCCTTAGAAGGCAGCATAGCTTATGTAGTTTGAAGCTGTCAGAAAGATTCAGCCCCTGGAAAAAGGCCCCAGGATGGTGGAGAGATGGTAGGAAAAGAACAAGACCCTCCACGAGGCAGACTGGCACCCTGGGCTCACACAGGGCGACCCTCCAGAGCATGGCACAGGACTGGGCAGTGTGTGCTCTGCTGTGGCGTCAGAACCACGGGCACCTGACGCCAACCACATGGACTGTAGTGCTCTTCCCAGGAGCCCGTGAGAAGATCGCAACAGAGTGGTTGTGTCATATCATTTATAACAGGAACAGCTGCAGTGACATTGAATGCCATGTTCTTAAAATCATTCCAAAGAACAGACAACCTCAGAGTGGTTGAACGACTCGTTTCAAAGACGTAAGTGAATGGAGAGTAGCATTTCTGCGTGTGTCCATTGCCTTCTGTAATAACGTAAATCCCCAAACCCATGCTGTTGAGTTGATTGCAACTCCTAGTAAACCTTCAGGACAGAGTGGAATCGATCACAACAGATCCAGGGCTGTCAGTTGTAGAAGCAGGTGGCCACATGTTTCTTCTGCAGGGTGGCCAGTGGGTTGGAATTGCTAATCTTTCCGTTGGCATCTGAGCGCTTCACCACTGCACCACCAGGGCACCTTCTTCCAGTTCTAGGTAGCCACACTCCTATACTCTATAGATTGTCCTGTTGGGGCATCACCTAATTGAGATCATATAATATGTGGCCTTTCACTGAGCATATACTGTTAACTTATTGTCCATCCCATTGGCCAACATTTCACATGTATGACCATAGTAAAAAAATTAAACTCTTTCTGATACTATTCTGCACATTCACAATGGACGTCCGCAGCAGTACATTGTCAAGGGGTGAGGACCACCGGCTGAGATACTTCGGCTGATGTGTCAACGTGACTGGGTCATGACTCTCTGCTGTCGGGTGGTTTCCAACAGCTGGTCTTGAGATGAGCAGCCTAATACTTAACAGCGACCCACCCTTTGTACACGTGGCTGGGTCCAGTTCATCCGCGTTTTTTCCTATAAATCCGTAAGCATTGGTTGGTCTCTCTTTACAAGCCTCCGGCCAGCTGTTCTCCACAGGAAGGCTCCAGTGCTGATGCTGTCCTTCCTCTTTCCATGCTCCCGGGGGCCGCCCTTCCCACCCCTGTGTAAGAGCGAAGGTCTTCCAGGCTCTGTGTGGATGGTTCCTCCCTGAGCAACTTACCTGGCACCCTCCCTCATCCACTCTGCTCCTCCCCTACCCATCACCTTAGTGTGGGCAGTGCGCAGGTTCCTGACATCAGACCCACTGTACCAGCCATAGTGACACACCATCCCCCATAAAGCCGATTTCCTTAGAGATTGGTTTGGTAGATAAGAGAACCCAACTAGAATGGACTCAGGAGCAAATGAGAAGTGAGAAACTGAAAGAAGAAGGAGAAGGAGGAGAATATAGTTATTATAAATATTACTTTGACAACAGACCACAATAGCCAATCAGATGCAATTTATTGCACATCGGTAGACCAATAGATGCACAATTCTGTGGAAAGTTCTCTGAATGACAGCTCCCTGCGTTGGAAATGTCTGGAAGTTTATTTTTCATACTGTCAGCCATGGTAACCTCCGGGGAGGGAATTAGAGACTTAGGCTCAATAGAAGTGAGGGGCTTTTTACATTGTATTTTCATTGGTTAAATAAATACGTGTACCTTTTATCATTAAAAAGAAGAAAGGAAAATCCTATGGACATCGGAAAGGAGCCCTAGTGGCACCATGAGTTAAGCATGGCCGGGCTGCTATCAGACAGGCCAGCAGTTCGGACCTCCATTGGCTTCTCCTGAGAACGAGGAGGCAGGATGCTTCCGTCAAGATTCCTAGCTCTGGAAACTTAAGCCAGGTGCGCCTTGGTCCTCAAAGTGACTTCTTTGCTTTCCAAGACTATAGAGAGTTCTTTTGCCAAAATATTTTCCCAGTGTAGTACATCCTTTGATTTCTTGATTGCTGCTTCCATGGGTGTTAATTGTAGAGCCAAATGCTTCACAACTTCAATATATTTTCCCTTTAATCATGATGGTCTAAGTGTGAGTATTCCGCTATGGCCCAAAGCAGAATGGGCCTGAATTTGTAAAATTTGAGTGTACCAGAAAGATAACCAGCAGAGGAAAAACTACAGGCCAACACCCTGCTAGACTCTTAATCTCCTGCTTAGAAAACAATGGCAGAGTGGGCATTGTGTAGCAACCAAATCTCTCAGCCCTGAGCCAAGATGGCAGCCCTGGCAAAGATCCATCCCCCATCACGCTCCTGAAAGGGCTCTAGAGCACGCCTCATCGGAGCCTTCCACTTCAGACTTCGACAGGCCACTTTTCACAATCCAATTATCATTCTACTTCACCCATTTTTTTAAATGGGTGGGTTCACTGCATCGCTCATCACTGAACCTGTTTGCACCAGTTCACACCCTTCTGTGTTACTTGGGCTTCTTGTGGAAGCCTGAATTTTTGTCAGGCCCCTACCAGCAACTTGCTATGTGTGTTTCACAAAGAAAGTCAATGCCATCGTTTTCTCATTCTTGTCTGGTAACTTCTGGAAGCCAGGATTCTTCTCTGTACCCATCTATGATAGGGAGACAGCACCGTATATTGGCCATTGCCGCTGCTGAGTTCCCCATTTACCAGCAGCAAAAACCAACATCGAGTCCAAGATATAGGACCATTCCTGGAGGAGATCAACTGGCAATTTGGTGGCAGGTTGATTACATAGGACCTCTTCCATTATGGAGGGGGCAGTGTTTTGTTCTTACTAGAATAGACACCTACTCTGGATATGGATTTGCCTTCCATGCACGCAATGCTTCTGCCAAAACTACTATTCGTGGACTTACAGAATGCCTCATCCACCGGCATGGCATCCCCCATAGCATTGCTTCAGATCAAGGAACTCACTTCACAGCAAATGCAGTGTGGCGATGGGCCTGTTCCCATGGAATCCGCTGGTCATATCATGTTCCTCATCATCCTGAAGCTGCTGGCTTGATAGAACGATGGAATGGGCTCCTAAAGACACAATTACGGCACCAACTCGGTGGCAACAACTTGCGGGGCTGGGGCAGTGTTCTCCAGGAAGCTGTATACGCTCTAAACCAGTGGCAAATATATGGTGCTGTGTCTCCAATAGCCAGAATTCATGGGTTCAGGAACCAAGGGGTGGAAGCTGGTGTGGCACCACTGACTATTACTCCTAGTGATCCACTTGCAGCATTTTTGCTTCCTGTCCCAGCAACCCTGTGTTCCTCAGGCCTGGAGGTCCTGGTCCCGAAGGAAGGAACTCTCCCACCTAGAAACACAGCACGGATTCCACTGAACTGGCAGCTGAGAATGCCCCCTGGCCACTT